CTTTCAAGGCAGGCACCAGAACCACTGAGCTAAATCCCCGGCCCGAGGATTATAAGTTTTAAACTAGCTTCGGCAACTTTCTGAGACCCTGTCACAAAATAAAGTAGAAAGGGCCAGGAGTGTAGCTCAATGGGAGAGTGCTCGTTGAGGCCCTGGGTTCAATCTCTAGGTACCATAAAAAAAAAGCTTTGTTTTATTACATTGCAAACTACATAGCTGCTGACAAATGGCTTCAAGTCATGTCTGTGGCTGATACAGTACTTAGCTTCATTCCAGCTCCACCTGCTAAAAGTTTGGTGCATTTCCCTAATACCATTCAGCCCAGGTTCCACTTGAGACCTAGCTTTTCCCAAGCAGATGCAATTCTTTGAAATCCAAAAGGCAGAAGAGACATAAGGTAGCAGCTGTGCTTCTGCCACTTCCACAAGTGAGTACAGTGACAGAGATATCTGATTGTTCTGCAGCAGTTATAGGTAAAAAGGCAGAAGGGCGGGCGTAGATTTTCCTGGCAAAGGCTGTATCAAAGATAATGTGGTCCTGGAGCTACTAAGTGACAGTAGCTGATTTCCCAGCACAGACTGAAACTTCACTAATGAGCCAGTTCTGCCACACACCTGTCATTCCTGAAGGCTCAGAACATTCCATCAGCCTGTTGAAGAATTTTATGAGCACCTACTCTACTATATTAAACCCTTCTGCTGAATTATATAGTGGGTTCTTTTAATGAACCCAGTGTATAGGACAGAGTGTAAAACTTGATGTCTAAAAATTTTTTTGGTTTTACCATGGGGCATCTGATATCAAGATTAAGCATCTATCTATCTATCTATCTATCTATCTATCTAAATATCTTGCTGTGGATTAAATCCAGGGCCTTGAGTATACGAGCAAATTCTCTACCACTGAGCTATACACCCCTAGCCCAAAATTAAGTAATATTTTCATTAAAGTAATTTATATATGAGAAGTATATTTTTGGGTCAAGAGTGGCAACAAAGAAGTGTGTATAAGACTATTGGGAAAAAATCACAGAAATGACCTCTAGGAATCTACAACTTGTGAGTTATCCCAATCCCCCTTACTAATAAACTGTAAACATGTAAAACAGATATATAATTATAAGTAGAATGGAAATAAAATATTTTCTTACTTGACTGCAGCAAACACATTATCTCCAGCTTGAACAATTATACAATTTTTCTTTGCTTCATTTGTACCAATATATATAGGAAGTTCATCAGGAGAATCTCTGTTTTAACAAAATACATTAAAAATTCAGTTGCCTATAATCTAATTATCAGGTAAGTAGAATTTTAGGTCTGTAGATAATAATTTATACCTGTAAAAATACAAACAAATTTACCAAGTTTAAGCTCCAAGTTTCTTAGGAATATCTATGATATCTATACAGTGTACCTAAAATTCAGATTTTTAACATCGTTACTCTTATACTCAAAAAGAAAGAAAAGTAGAATAGGCCTGTCAAAGGATGTAGAGATAATTATATATAATCACCAATCACCCCAATTTTAGACTCTGTTAAAAAAAAAAAGGAAAACCAAAAAAAGAAACAGTACAGAGGATTACAAAGCATCAGATATGAAATGACTTGTATATAACCAAATTCTTTTATTTTAAAATTGAGAAAACAGGGATGTGGATTTAGCTCAGTGGTGCCACCACCTGCCTCGCAAGCACAAGGTCCCGAGTTCGATCCCTGGTACCAAAAAAAAAATTGAGAAAACAAACAGAAGTTACTCAACCATGCTTCGAGTAAATTGGTGTCAAAGCCAGAAGAAGAATCCATATGAGCCCCAAAAACTTTCTGCTGTACATTTCCTCTTGCGCATATTTCACCTTTTCCTCTATTACACATAATCTCTACTTTTAAGAACATCTCTACTGGTATAAGTGGAGAAGTTATTTTCTCCCTCAAGCTATTTCTTTTTGTTAACATTCTAAGCATCTGCATGTATTCATTTAATGCTCATAATATTCCTGAGATATGTATAATTATCCCCAGTTTCAGAAGAGGAAACTGAGTCACAGAAAGTCACAGTCAGTAATGACTGGAACAGGGTCACCAAGATAATAGACCAGTCTGACTTCAGAATTTACTCTCACCTACTATGATACTACAAAGTACAGTACATAGTTTATCTAAGTCAAAACAGCTGCTCTAAATTACCTTTCTTGGGTTAAAGGAGCTTTTCTGAACCCAAAAGGGAAAAAAAAGTTTTTAGCCACAAAGTAAAACCCAGGGAGGTTCAACCTAAAGTGTTCACCATCCCAGGCTGGGTTAAAAAGGTAACAACGGGAAAAATAACAGCTGGCTCACATATCTGCCAATAAGGGGAAAATCGGCCTGTCACCTTGGGTGATGCCAATGAATACTTACACTCAGCAGAACAGGAGTTGTACTTTAGAGAAGAAGAAAAGATCCTTTACCTGAAATACCCCATGTGGTACTGAGTTTTATTATCTCCAACAATAATGGTCTGGAACTCAGGAGGATCATAGTAAAACCTCCAGTGAAGATTAAAGTTCAAGCGTATTGATTTTTTCTTCATTTTATGTTTTCCAGCAAGGATATCATAAGGACCCACTAATTGTAGTCCAAGGCTTGTGGAAAGTGCATCTATAACGAAAATAAGTTTGTTTAGGAATACTTTCTGGAGGCAAACAAGAAATAATGCCTTTTCATTAGTAAACTATTTCTAAATGACTCTCTCAGAGCTTCTAAAGTTAAAAAAAAAAGTCATGCATGAAGATGTTAGTTATAGGGCTGAGGATTTAGCTCAGTGGTTCTGCTGCCTGCCTGGAAAGCACAAGGTCCCGAGTTCGATCCCTGGTAACAAAAACAAAAAACAAACAAACAGAAAAACCCAAGATGTTAGTTATAAACACTCATGGAAGAAAAATCAGAGAAACAGAAATGCGGCATTAAATTTAGGATTTTCTCATAACTTTATCACTGAATTAGCTTAACATTTCAAATATTCTTGCTGTTTCTTCTTTTATCCAAAGCAAGACTGTTTGTATTCCTATCAGCATATTAGAGCCACAAACACCTCGGCTCATTATTACATTCTTAGCTTCAAAAAATGCACAAAGGGGGCTGGGGATTTAGCTCAGTGGTGCTACCGCCTGCCTCGCAAGTGCAAGGTCCTGAGTTCGATCCCTGGTACCAAAAAAACCGAAAACAAACAAACTAACAAAAAACGCACAAAAGGAGAGACAGAAAATGAAGACAGCAAAAACATGTGGATTAAAGATGATGAAGATTCCCTTTCTCTCTTTACCTGTCACTCCAGATTCCCTTGCCTCCTTGATGTTTGCCAACCCTAACCCTGATGATTCCAACTTCTTTCGCTACTCACAGATCACAGAGGGAGTGCCAAATAAAACCACAAAATCACAAACTCTATACAGATGTACAACTTTAACTTCCGACGGGCCCTTGGTGCTTCTGCAGCTGGAGGGACCCAGTAATATAAAATAAGAGCAAGACAATTCTTAGAAGGGATAATTCCATGTTTAAAGGTATGGAGAGAGTTTGAGGAGTCAGTTGGGGGGAGTTGGAATTAGTCTGGCTTAGCTGGAGGGTAAAGGAGCATGTACTCATTTTTTTTTTTTTTTTTGGTACTGGGGATTGAACTTGGGTCCTTTTGCTTGCGCAGCAGGCGGCGAAACCACTGAGCTAAATCCCCGGCCCATTGTACTCATTTTTAAAGCACCAAGAAAACCATAACCACCCATGTTACTTGCTAGAAATAACGTTAATAGTCTGCTATACAGGGATAACTTTCCACACTTTCCCCTACTATGAACAGATATAAATACAAAAACATTTCATAAGTGAGGTCATGCTATTTTGTAATCTGCTTTTTCTCCTCCATCCTATTTCCACTTGAGTTTTCTGTGTATTTTCTCATGTTAACTGCTATTTTACATTTTTAATATAGCTTGATAGTCCATTATAAAAAGATATCCATCTACTTTCCTACTAATGGACATGTACTACTTCTAGTTTTTTCTATTCTACAAAAGGGTGAGTCACACATTTTCTAATAAATGTTAGTATATAGCTATGGTTATTTTTTAAAGTACTACACTGCTTAAAAAATGTTCTGATATAATGCCAAAATTCAGAGTATGTATATAGTGTATGAGTGCTTATTAGTTAAAATATTTAAACAAAAGGGATTATAGTAAAAAGTCACTCCATCACAACCCATGACCGATCTCTTGTGTCCTCTTTCAGAGACAGAGTAAGCATGTGAAAACCACACAGGGATGTGAGTGTCTCCCCACGCTTTTTCAAAAAAGACAAATGGAGCCTTAAACTATATACTGCTTTTATTTCACACAGCATATTTTAGACATGAGTCATTATCATTTCCTAAAAGTCTGCCTCATTCTTTTAAAACTATGAATATCCATTGAGTAGCTAAGTTACTGGTGGACATTTATGTTATTTCATATTTTTTGTTTCAGTAAATATTCTTGAATGTAATTCTTCATTTACCTAGTCCAGTAGACAAGTTCACAGAATGGCTAACTCAAACTAAAACTCCTGCTATATGTGAAAGTGTTTGTTTTCTTTTACACTGATATCAAACAATATCATGAAACTATTTGCCTTTGCCAATATAATAGACGACAGTGGCATATTTGTATAGTGTTCATTTATGTTTCTTTTACTATACCATATTTCTTACAACTATGAAAATGTTCTTTTTCTATTAACTATTTTTACCCTTAGTCCAGTTTCTGATTACATTTTCCATTGGTAGAAGCAGAATGACTCTGGTACAACTCACCGGCAGGCTTTTCAGGATCAAGTTCTTCACAGAACTTCCAGAAGTGATAAAAATCTTCAGGTAGGGAAAGCTTATAATGATTTTCTACTTCTTTTCGAAGGTCGGTGGAGACATCAGCTTCACAGGATTTACTCTTCTTCACATCAACTGTCTTTTCATTCTGAAAATTACCATATATAACTTCAGTTTCAGTTCTCCAGAAGTAATTTCAGTAACTTTCCTTGAATAACAATATTGTTCATAGTTATTCACTCATCTCTGTGAGATTTGGGTGTGTATATAAGTATGTGTTTTCAAACTAGTCTACAGAGTATATCTGAATAAAAACCTGGGGATTCTATTGGGCAAAAAAAAGAAAAAAGAATAGTTCATATGGTGGTCAAATGGGATCTGCACAACAAGTCTTTAAATACATTTCTTTTAAGATAATTGACAAATAGGGAAAAAAGGTAAACCACCAGTAAAAAAGCAGGAAAAGAATAAAGGCAGGATTTGCCCTCTTTGGGCCAACAAGACATCTTATCTTTCATTTAAACAGATTCCCTGATCACACCAGAAGCAAATTATCAGAAATAAATGGATATAAGGAAACTTACCAGTGAAGAAGCAATTTCTTCAGCAAAGTCCAACTAGAGTCATGTTTGGGCTTTTTGGTACAATCACTACTGAGCCTTTCAACTTAGAAGGTTAGAGACCAAGGTAAGCATCTGAAGTCCTTAACCAAGTTAGCAGAACAGCACTAAACGCTGAGCCAAAAATCCTATTATTTCACAAAAGACCTTTGCCAGGATTGTGTTGTAAAACTCGACTATAGTAACTCTGCAATTTAAGTATGCTAGATTTTATAAGGGCTATTAGGTATCTGATAAATTTCTGTAAAGATAATATGCTTATTTGGAGGTCATCTACCTTTAGTTTTCAAAGTTGCAATAATTTTCTTTATGGGAACCTAGATTCTTTCTTTTTGGATTAAGTTTCTTTTTTGTCCTCCACTGCCGGGAACTGAATCCAGGGCTTCATACATCTAGGCAAGTCCTCTACTACTGAGATCCATTTAGAGACAGGGTATTGTTAAACTGCTCAGGCTAGCCTTGAACTTGTGATTCTCCTGCCTCAGCTTCCCTGAGCAGCTGTGATTACTGGTATGCACCACTATACCAGGCCTGGATTAAATCCTGATTTAGTCTTTCTACCTAGATCAGTGGTTTTTGACCAAGGATGATTTTCCCACTCCCCCCTTCTCCTCTGGGGACATTTAACATGTTTGTAGAACTTTTTGTCAGAAATCTGGAAAGGTGCTAGTGACATCTGATAGGTGGATGCTGAGTAGTATGCTGCTCAATATTGCGCAATGCACAGGATAGGTCCCCTCAACAAAGACCTATCTGGCCTCAATTGTCAACAGTACTAAAATTTAGAATTTTAACCTAGATGTCTCATATTTGTATTCTTCCATTTTCTTAACAGGCTCAATTCTGTTGATATTACTGTGTCATTCAAAGTCTACAAAATGTATGAATCAGATGACATACAAGAAAGTTCATGATGGCACTGTTTGGGGAGCAAAAAAGAAACCAACACATAAAATGCCTATGACAGAATGGATAGTTACAGGGGTCTTAAACAATGGAACAGTACAATTAGTGAAAAGGAAATATAATTAAACAATATGGACCAATGTTAATATATAATAAAGAAATAAGATTATATGCAGCATGATCGTCTTTTTTGTAAAGTTCAAAAGTTTAAAAACCATTGTTTACGCATACTGTCGCAGGAGATGAAGTAGTTAGACTGAAAGGATAAGGGATAAGCACAGGCATAAATGTAGAGTTATGGTCAATGTTTCAGTTCTTGGACTGAAAGGATAAGGGCAATGGGTTCACAGGTGTTTGTTATACTATTAAATAAATGAGGTTAAAGAGGACCAGGAACTGACCAATGATAAGTTCATTATTATACCATGAATTATAATGCCTCCATCTGATGTCATGAAAAAATTAAATTGGAAAAACTACTAAACTATGAATCCCAAAATGGATGCTAATAGCAATTACAATAATAATAATCATAGAATAACAATACTTAAGGGTCTTGCCACTGTTTTAAGCACTTTCTCTCCATTAACTGTTTTAATTTTCACTACTAATTTAAGATCTAATACTATTATGCACATTGTACTAACGAGAAGACTGAGATTATATAACCTTCCCTACATAGCTAGTTAAATGTGGAAGAGCAGAAATTTAAATTTGGCTCCAGAGCACAAATCTTACTGTTTCTTCATGCTGCTTCCCCAACCAGAAATACAGAACAGTATTTGCTTTTGCTTTTGTGACTGTCTTTGGTTAAGACTTTCAATGATTGGTTTAAGCTTGAAGATGTCAGAGATGCTTAATCTGCTGTGTCGAAAGTCAGTTTTGCCTTGGGTAGGTTAATTAACCTCTCCGTGCTTTCTTCTCTCACCCCAACACAGACATATGTAGTACCAGTATTGTGGAGTTATATTTAAAAGTTATATTTAAAAATAAAAAGAACAGTCTTAGCACATATCACTGCTGGCTATTACTGTAGCCATTGATAGTTTCTATTAGGATCATCTTCACTTTAGGGATTTTATTTCTGATGAGGTGTACCACTCTGCCAGAGCAGTTCCTCACTGCACCTTCAAAGAGGCGTTATCTTCTACCTCTGCCTTAGTCCACACACTACAGTAGTTCAACTTCTCCCAAACTCTAACAACTAGAATCTGAGACAGCTGGATACCTTCAAAGAGTATACTTCAAAATGGCAAAATGAACGAGTTTCATTTGCTTCCCCGGGAGCCGCGCCAAGAGAAGTTGGGAGCAAATGTAAAGGCGCCACTTTGCAGGTCTCATCCTCAGCACAGCGGGAAACGGCGGCCCTGACAGGGGCCCTGCAGCAGACTGTGGCTCTCGGCCACACAGTAGGTGCTCAAAGATTCCTGGATAAATGAAATGTGCACGCCTGGAGCCCTGGCTATCACTTCAAGGGCCTCGCAGAGCCCAAGCAACCTTTCTGGCGGTACCTGTTGCCGTTCCCCGCCGGGCTTGCGCTTCCCTCCGCCAACCATTCTGCAGCTATAGCGTCCGCAGAGCTTCGCGTTCCCGCTGCTTCCGAGCGCGGCCAAGTACTTCCGGGTTCAGAAGCCTCCAATCCGAATGCCCGCGGCAGTGCGGGCTCGCGCAGATATGGAAATGGCTCCGCCCCTGCCCGCCCCTGCCCGCCCCCAGAGGCCCAGAGCCGGGCGGGAACCCGGGGCGGGAACCCGGGGCGGGAACCCGGGGCAGGAACCCCGGGCGGGAGCCCCGCCCACTCCCCTCCGAGCGCAGTTTCGGAGAGTCTGCGCACTGCACACGCTAACACCGCCTCTCAGAGCACTGCTCGGGAGACCTCGTCTCAGGCGTTTACTGTTGCCAAAGTTGAATGTATGGCGCTGCCCACGCTTCAGCCTGAAATTCATCACCCTCCCTCCCTATATTTTTATTACCTAACACTAATCCATAGCGTTGTCTCACCCAGAAATTATCTCCCACCCGTCTTGTTCCGTGTAGTCCCTGAACCAGTAACAACACCCTGAGGGACCTGTTAAGGCGGAATCTTAGGCTCTGCCCAGATTTATTGACTCATAATCTGCATTTTAATAAGATGTCCCAGTATGTCCTATTCACATCAGAGTTTCAAAGCAGAAGGATCCGAGTTCAATTCCCGGTACCAAAAAAAAAAAAAAAAGTTTAAGAAGCACTGCCCCATCGCAGCCATCCTGCCAAAGTCCTGTACCTCATTCTTTTGTTTGCTTTTGGAACCAGGGATCGAACTTGGTTCCTTGCACTTGCGCAGCAGGCGGCGAAACCACTGAGGTAAATCCCTGGCCACTGTGCCTCGTTCTTGACACAGATTCTGCCTGTAGCTTCCTTTTCCTCTCATTTTATACTCACCTTTTGTCATTTTGTGGAACACATACTGCAGTAGTGCCCCTCTCCCAGCCTTCGCACTGAGATACAATCCCAGCCCTTTTTATTTTTATTATTTTAACATTGTTTTAATCAAGTACTGTAGCTGTTTGAAACAAAAAATTGAGACAAGGCCACAGAAGAATGCAAAGGATGATAACCTGGGAATAATCCAGACTGTGAATTTAAATTCCACCAAAGTTTGGCACCAGACTGAAACTGGCTTAAGACCAAAACCTCTCCTGAGTGCTGAGAAGCCCTGAACCTGTTTCCCTTCGGAGTCAAACCAGCAGCTCTACCAGAGATCCTTACCAGCTTGATACTGGGTATGCTGAGTGCCACTCCGTGGGACCCAACACCTCCTATATGATCTAGTTAATGACAGCAAATGAGCCTTGAAGCAAATAATTTGAAAACCAGATAACATGGATTTGCAAGAGCATTTTCTCACTTTCCCTCTGCAGGTGCTGCTACTTCCTTCCACACCCTAAGTCTTCCATGCCTGAAACTTCTTCCTGCTAAGCAGTGGATTCTGGATTCAAAGTCACCTTCACTCAGAACATTGGAGGGCTTGCCCCACAGTATTTTAGTTCCCAGTATTATTGAGAAACCCTATGACATCACGATTTTTATTCTATTATAAGTGACTAATTTCTTTATATGTAACTTACTTTGGTTTATGTTTTTGCCTCAAGAAATTTTAGGGTCTTTTCTTAATTCCCAGTTTTCTAAAACAATCACGTATTTTGGTTATGGGTCTCATTTAAAAAAAAAATATGGATCCACACTCTTCAATCTTGATACTTATTCTTTAATTCTGGGCAGTTTTCTGGTATTATTTATTTGATAATTTCCTCTGCCCCATCCCTCAATAAATTTCTTCTTTTTCCAAAATTCGTTATTCAGTTATTAAACTTTCTTGACAATTATTTCTCATCTGTTCTACTTTTTCTCTTCATCTTTTTATTCTACTTTCTGTGTGGCTTTTTCAACTTAGATGAACCTGTCAAATTATTTTATTTCTTTTATTATACTTCCATTATAAGCACTCTTTCTATTCTGTTTTTATAGCATCACCTTGTGGGGTGGTTTTTTTTTTCCCAGAAATTTAGCTTGTTTTATCTCCAAAGACCTAAATTATATGGTTTTAAAGATGCTTTCTACATAACTTTGTTGATTTTGATTCTTCTGAATCTTTTCTGGTTGGGTGGGTGGGTGGGTGGTTGACTGATTGCATCTTGTCTCTGTCCTTTACGCTAGGGCCTTTGAGACTTGGGTGGCCATCTTTGCTCTCAGTTCATATGTGAAAGTAATCATCTGAAAACTGCTTTGGGGATTTAGGCACAGCCTGTCAACTAGTAGACAAGGTGTATGATAATGGGGGAAGGGCTTAGTTATCTTCCTTCACAGAATAATTTTCTAATTACTTGCTTTGAGAATATACCATTTCCTTGGAACCCAATGGGGAAAGGAGGCTGGGAATCTTAATACTTTCAGTATTTACACTGTATGAGCCTGGATCTACTAGAGAAACAGAACCAATAGGATCTCTGTCTGTCTTCCTATTTATCCGTCCATCATCAGTTGGCATGACCATGGGGGCTGAGAAGTCACACAAACTGTTGGTGCAAGCTGGAGACCCAAGAGAGCAGGTGCTGTAATTTGAGAGTCAGGTTGTTGATGGGGAGCTGATGGTGCTGATCCCAGTGCCAGTCTTCAAGATCTGAGGACGAGGACTGAGAACAGGAGAAGAGGCGATCCAAGTCAAGAAGTCTGGCAGGAAGTGAATCATCCCTTCCTCGATCAATCATTCAGACAGTCAATGGATTGTAATTTTTTTTTTTATGTGGAACTGTTTGGGGGTTCTTTTTGCTTAAAATATTTTATTGGTACATTTTAGGTATACAATACATTTATATTTATCATTGAGTGCTGTTACCTGTGCATGATGTATCTTGGTTCTTATTTTTTCCCCATTACCTGTGAGCCCTTCTACCCTTCCCTATTTACATAGACTTCGTTTCCATGTTTTCCTTTTCTCATAATTTTTCCTTTCCCTTCTTTCCTTTCCCCTTCCCCTCCCACTTACCCTACCCCTTTGGACCTTTTCTTCCTATTTCAAATTATCAATTATTTATTTTAATCATTTTTTTGGTACCGGGGGATCAAACTCGGATCTTTGCCCTTGCTTTGAAACCACTGAGCTAAATCCCTGGGCCCGTTTAAATCATTTTAATCCTTATTTACACTTTCAGTTTCTCACACCAGAGAAACTATTCAGTATTTACACATGTGTGTCCTGTTTATTTCATTGAAGAGA